CTTTTTCTTGCTACGTGTGCGTGTTCTTTAGATCCTCAGATGGCTCCAGCACTTTCGTGACCACGGGCCGAGAGTCTTTGCTAGATTTTGGCATTTAGCAACTGGCATACGGTTTAATGTGAAGTCAACAACAACAACTAATTATGTGCCACCGTAATAAACGTACTGTTGCGTTTAGTACGGCTCTCCATACTGTACTAAGCGTACTGTTGTGTTTAGTAGGGCTTCCCATACTGCTGTACTAAAACTAGTTTTAGTACGGCTCTCCATACTGTACTAAACATACTGTTGTTGCTTTTAGTACGGGTCAATATACTGTACTAACGGTACTGTTACGTTTTGTAGGGCTTCCCATACTGTACTAAAAATAGTTTTAGTGCGGCTGCCCATACTGTACTAACGCGATAGTACAGCCCCCCATACTCTACTCAAGTACCTGTTGTCATGATTTCTACCAAAGGGCGTGTTGGTGACGTCACTATTCGGCAGGAAAATGTACAGTCTCGCCATACAGTCTCGCTCCTGCGAGTGATCGTGGGCTCGTACTGGCGTGCTTGAGTACTGAGGGTATTGGTGTAGTGGCCCGCAGGGGAGGGTGTGGCAGCATGAGTAACGCGAGTGGTGGTTCGACCGCATCTCCCGGTGCGGGTGGTTCTCCCGGTACGGGTAGTCCCGCAACGGGTTCTTCACCATAAGACCAGGTGGTGGTCGTGGCGGGCTCTACGAGTGGAGGAGCTCCACAGCATTCGGTAAACCTCAAGCGTCCCGAGCCGATCTTCTACTCGAACGGAGAGAGTACGTCGTACCGGAGGCTACGAAGAACGCCATCGAGTCATTCGTTGTGCCGGACGGTTTCCAGCAGGAAGGGGCCCGCGAGGACTCTTTCCTGTTCAGCCTTGGACATTACTGCGTGCCCACNTAGTACCCGTTCGCGTAGAAGATCGGCTCGGGACGCTTGAGGTTTAACGACTGCTGTGGAGCTCCTCCTCCACTCGTAGAGCCCGCCACGACCACCACCTGGTGGGGCTCTGATTTGATTTTTATTTTTGAACACTCAATCGAGTGGGTGGATTGAGTATTCGTGCTCTACAGCGTTGGCGGTCTACAGTTCGTAGTGATTGTGATTGGTAAGGCGGAGAGGGAGGGTGTGAGGGAGCATCGAGGGGGGGGGGTCATAACATTGGATGGTTGGCGTTGGAATCATGAGGGCGTAAGCTTACATTCAGTTGTTCTCTCAGTATTGTCAGTACTGTACTAAGCGTACTGTTGCGTTTAGTAGGGCTTCCCATATTGTACTAAGCGTACTATAGCGTTTAGTACGGCTCTTCATACTGTACTAAGCGTACTAACACTTTAGTACAGCTCTCCATGCTGTAATCGTACTATTGCTTTTAGTAGGGCTTCCCATACTGTACTACAAACAATTTTAGTACCGCTCTCCATACTGTACTGATACTAACCTCAGTAGTACCGATTCTCGATACTGTACTAAACGTACTGTTGCGTTTAGTACGGCTCTCCATACTGTACTGATACTAACCTCAGTAGTACCGATTCTCGATACTGTACTAAACGTACTGTTGCGTTTAGTACGGCTCTCCATACTGTACTAAGCGTACTGCTGAGTTTAGGACAGGGTCTCTGTACTGTACTCAGGTGAGTTCAGTATTCATCTCTCACATACTGTACTGTTACTAACCTTAGTACGGATTCTCGATACTGTACTAAAAGTACTGTACTGTACTAAACCGACCCTAGCTATTTTCTACACACTGACCAAATGCTGTATTCAAGAGAGGGGTGTCGGTCACATTGTGAGGATGGGTAATGAACAATACTCTTCACAGGCAATTCACTTGGCTAGGAAAAAACTACCGGTGGGTGCGTTCAAGGAGGTGAATCGTTTTTTACACCAAGGACCACACGAACCACGTGTGTTTGCGGTGGATGGATCAAAGGTGCATGTTCACCCTTCTTTTATCGGCGCGGGCTATAAGACCCGAACGAATGATAAGCCAGTGCCGCGTCCAGCAAAATCACCTCTCGTCATGCTCTCTTCGATGGTAGATGTGAAAACTAAGGCATGCGTGGACTTCGAGCTCACGAAACACTTCAACGAGGACGGCAGCCGTATCTATACTCAGAAGTGTACGAAAAGGCGACACGCTAGTGTTTGACAGGGGCTACTTCTCCAAGCACTCAGTACGGAGCATTCATGACTCTCAGGCGTTTGGTGTTTGGCGGCTGAAGATAAATGCGTTCAAGGGCACAAAATCTTTTATTAGTTCGTGGAGAACAGAAACCACCTGTCTTATTCTTGGTGTTCAGTCGCGTCTCGTGAAATACTCCATCAACGGAAAAACGTACGTTTGCCTGACGAACGACCCAACGTTGTCTCGAAGAGATATCAAAGCCATTTATGCTTCAAGGTGGAGGGGGGAGCAGAGCTTGCGACTTAAATCAAACGTCAGGCTCGAAAAAGCTCACGCAAGAACCCCTGATCTGTACATACAGGAAGTAGAAGCAAGAGTTTTGCTTGACACAATAACTTTGCGATTACAGAGGTAAGCGTGTGAACGGTCCTATATATACACTCTCGACACATTTGTGACACGCGTTCTACGCAACGTTAAGGTGGTTTCAAACCCCACAAGACCACGACTGGTATCCAGCAACTAATCACATTCTTCCGCGTCGTACACGAGTCTGGCCAATCATATTCTTCCACGCGGCCTGCTATGGAGACCACGTGCCCAAGGTTTACACGAAACATAAGAACGTAACACCTCGCACATGGTCTCACAATTCATCATCATGGTCCTACCATCATCCAAAAATCATCTCGAGAAGAAAAAACTGAAAAAGGCAACACTCACCGAATCGTCCAAGAAAACACCGGACTTCCTACAAGCAGTCGGAGGCCTCTACCCTGCGAAATACCTCACCAAAGATGGAAAACTGCCTGTCAGGTACAAGGGAAATACTGCTGTCAGCTTTTTTCGAGGGTAAGATTCGGGGAAGATGTCTCTCAAAAACCTCGGATAAGGACAGTGACTACCGGGTTTCGGTCAGCAACGAAGGAAGAAAATCGCGATGCTTTCCAACAGAAATTCGATGAGGCAGTGGATCAACTTTCTCGGGAAAGGGTTCTCGCCTCTCTGTTCGCAAACTTCGTGTTCATGGAACGCCTTCAGAATGGAACAGCTCTCCCCGAGCCGGACGCAATATTTTTCAAGCCATGTCTGGCTTCGTGCATCAAGAGTAGGGGGGGCAAGCTCAACGCTGACTTCGACCGGTTTTCGGCGCTGACGGGACGTCTGAGGCTCGAACCCCCCAACAATCTGAACCTTGACCAGCTACGGAAATGCGAGGCAGTGAGCATGGCCACTTCGACGTCCACGCGGGCCGAACATCACACGGAAAAAAAGGAGGATTGTCATCACGAGGTGGTTTCTGCGTGGACTGCTGTCTAGAGGAGACATGAAGTACAAGCAGTACGCAACCAAACTCTACAATCTCTTCAAGAAGATTATCGTTGAGTTCGAAGGCACACGCGAGAACCAACAAGACCTGCGACAAAAAGCCCTGGAAATAGACTCTGGTGCGGATCCCGGCCCTATCATCGAGTTCGCGCAGAGGGAAAGGGATTTTTCCACGCGAGTCTGCGGTGACAAGAAAAGCGTACCAAAGATCACTCATCTGAACTGGTTGTTCAAAACATACGTCGCCGAAGACCGAAGGGAATATGAAGAGGTCGTGTCTCGATCTCACTCGCAGTTCCCTGGAGACAAGGTGTCCAGAGAGCTGAGGTTGGAGTTCGTGAAGAACGAGTTGGGGGAAGAGAGCATCCGTGCACCGCCGAAAGACACCGCCCTGCTTCCCATTTGCTCGCCGGGGTCGGTCTCCATTCGCATCGACATGACAACGCTGAAGTCCTGGACTTCCGGCCTTCCAACGATGCCTGGTGGTTCAACGACGTTCTCCAGCCTTTTTCGAAAGAGGCAAACGTCAAGTGCCTCGTAAACAAGGAGAACGTCAGGTATGCGTCGAGCAAACAGGGGTATCTTTCGAGTCTGTTGGAAAGTGTACCGGACACGTGTCCGTGGATGAATGGCGAGAGCTTCTTGACGGACGGTGTACAGATCAAGCTACTTCTCTGTACGTTGGATCATACGAGGAAGGCATTCCCCGGGTCCAGCCAGCTGAGCGAGGCGGGGTACAATAAATTGCCCCGGGCTAACGCTCAGTTAGCAAGTCTGCTGAAAGGTGGGAGAGGTGTGTACAACATATCGAGCCTTTTGGAGTCGACAAGCATCAGGGAAGACATCATGGTCATGTCGGCGGACCCGGGACAGGCTAAAGTGATCCACGTGTCTTCGCCTCCGGCCGGGATTTGGGCAAAGAAGGATCCAGAAGTTATCCTCAAGACTTCGACGTGTGTGTTCGGGGAGGACTATCGTCGTGACACTCTTGCATCACGTTCAGAGAACGAGACTTTCAGGCAGAAAAATCAACCATATGGAGTGGCAATCGATCGTCTGCGGCACGAGAAGAAGCGAACTTCTTGTCTCACGACGTTCATACAGTACTGCAAGAGTTGATGCGCAAACGGGCCGGCTCTATTCCAAGAGACGTTGCATAAAGGGAGGAACTTTATGCGTTTTGATTGTTTCAGAGCTACGCAGAAGACACTTGGTAAGATAGCAGACAGGTACATCGGACACATAGGAGACACGTGTAGAGCCATGTTGTTCGGTAAAGCATCGTTTCGTGCTCAGAAAGGGAGGGCATCTGCTCCGAGAAAAGCCTTGATGAGAGAGATGGCCAGTAGAGGGGTGGTTTTGATGGTGGACGAGTACAACACTTCCATAAAGTGCCCGGGGTGTAGAGAGGACACAGTGGAGGACAAGGAACGGAGAATCCGGAGTTGCAAAAACTTAAAGGTCGGATCACCGGAAGAGTCCTGTAGACTTCATCGCATGACACCAGAGTTTGAAGTGGATCGCGACAACGTAGGGTCGACTAACATCGGTATGCGTGGTTTCGGTGAATTGCTGGGTCAAGTGTGGTTGTAAGGATTTTTTTCGTATTTTCACTTGCGGATGATACTTTATAGTTAGCTTTCCTAGAGTTGACAATAGTGAGTAGACTACGGCAGCCATCTGTGTATTTATACCTGCCTGTTTGTAGTAGCCACGTGCTTGTACAGCAGCTGCAGCAGCTTCTCACTTTAGTTTTCACATGGGTTCTTCGTAATGCTTCAGGGGGAAGCCTTTCAGTGAAAACACTTGATTCAGCGCGCGATTCGTATCGTGTGTGCCCCGGCGGCTGCGGCGAACAGTAGCAACAGGAATAAAAAAAGGCCGTGAGGCTTCGGCTTCAGCCGCACGCAACAACCGTCAAAAATGGGGACGAATGTGGCACATAAAACAAACGCCGCGGCCGCCACCGCTTCCGATCGGCGAGGCGGCCGCTTTCGTGCCAAAAACCACGGACTGTGTTTACGTGAATCATCGGCAGCAGCAGAAGACGCTCGGCAGCACCCTCTTTTTGCAGGAGTCGGGCCATGCGCCCGAGGGTTTCCATGTCTGCTACGGGAGTGATGGGGCCCTTCCCGTGGGGAAGTGCAGCGCGGGCGCGTGCTTGGGCTGGGGTGTTCGCCGTGTTGGGGGAAACACAGTCTTTGCTGGCCGCGTTCAAAAGGCCGGAATTAAAATACTCTCTGTCAAGTAACCAAGCAAATATCATGAACAACAACATAAACAACATCGTGATCGACGCAAGCAGCGGCGACGTTGCAGTCAAATCTATGATCAAGAATATCATGCCGAACCTAAGCGAAGGCGGCATTCTCAAAACAGTGCACCGCGTCCTCGGGGATTACAACGGCCCGAAAATGTCCACGCGTCTGATGAATGGGCGCCTCGCGTGTGCCGCGACGCTCGAGCTGTGCTACGAGATTCTCGATAAAATGAGCGGGCCTCCGTGGCGCAAATGGCGTGAGGAGTCGGGGAATGCGTTCAAAGAGGCGCTGTGCGAGCGTGTCGAAAGCGTTCGGTCCTCTAGCCAAACAGAACAATTCCAACTACAGTCACCGCCACAGCCACAGCCACCGCAGAAAGTCGGGATAACGACGGCCGTCCTACAGAAGGCTCTCCGATCCATCAACATCAATGGATCCGTGCGCATCGACGATGGCTGTGGGAAAGAGTCCATCATCGACACCACGCGCCTGGTGTGCCGCGGGGCCTATTCTGCATATGCTGCACAGATGTTCACACGCGTCCTTGAAGAGGAGCGGAATGATGGTGGAAGTAGTTTCATGCGAGGCGAACAAACGCCAACGCCCATCGCCGACCGCGTTGACTACATCCGGATCAACGGTCATGGGAAGGTGACCCCCGTAAGCGACTCCAAGACCATCGTCGAGATCATTTGGCTGCTGCCCTCGGGCTCGGCCAAGGAATTCAGGCGCCAGTCAGCCGAAACCATCTGCCGTGTATTGGGAGGAGATATCAGTCTTTGCGGAGAAATTGAGCAGCGCTGCGCCCGCCTCCAGAGTACCGAGGAAGGCAGGGCTTACCAATCCTTTGTGACTGACCAGGGTCCCGCCAAGAAGCAGCGGGCCGCCATGCCAGCCTGGTTCGAATATGCGACGGCTGAGGAGAAGAGAGCCTACATTTCGATTGAGGCTACAACGAGCATAGTCTTGGCCAAGAAAGCCTTGGTCCTGAGAGATGTTGACGTGTTCGAGACATGCAAGGAGAAGCTGAATTCGGTTGGACAGTTCGATGAAGGCGATGAGATTGAGTTTGCAGACAGGATCAAGGACATCCAGCGGAGGGCGAAGAGGGTCGACAACATGATTACCGCCGCGCCTGCTGTCGATACTTCACCAATTTCCGTTTGTGCGGCGATGCCGGTAGACGACACCATCGACCCGGAGACGGGTCTGCTCATTGCCACCCCGAAATAAATGTAGCCCGAGTGTTCGGGGCCCGGAGACGTCGATTTGCGTCGAAGCTGGGAAAATGGGCTCTAGTGTAGGCGAGAAGGCCGGTCAGACCGGCAAGGTGGTCAAGCGGCTGTACTCCGAGCGCTACGGACAGGAAGCTGGTCGCAAGATACCTAAGCGCAGCANATAAATGTAGCCCGAGTGTTCGGGGCCCGGAGACGTCGATTTGCGTCGAAGCTGGGAAAATGGGCTCTAGTGTAGGCGAGAAGGCCGGTCAGACCGGCAAGGTGGTCAAGCGGCTGTACTCCGAGCGCTACGGACAGGAAGCTGGTCGCAAGATACCTAAGCGCAGCACCACGTTTAGGGGGAAGCCCTTCAGTGGAAAAACTTATTATGCCCGTGATTCGGACCTGATTCAACGTGCCATTCGCATCGTGTGTGCCCCGGCGGCGACGCCCTGATTTGTTGCCAGCAGTTTTCACAATGGCAACATGGATAGAAAAAACAGATTGTATTTACGTGAACTACCAGCAGCAGCAGAAGAAGCCAGGCTTAATCAAATTCAATTTTGCTGAAACAACTCGACAGCACCCTCTTTTTGCAGGAGTCGGACCATGCGCGCGAGGGTTACCATGTCTGCTACCGGAGTGATGGGGCCCTTTCCGTTGATTCTTATGAAGGAGACTTTGCCCTTCAAATCTTCAAGACGCTATACAGCCGGAAAATATGTCGGGTGTCTTGGGAGAACTTCGCAACTTCCTCGCAGCGATCTTCGCCTTGTGTTCCCCGGAGTGTTTTTTCTTGGCAGGCATGATGTCTTTTGTGGGGTTCCTTTCGACACAAGCATTCTAATCTTAAGGATAAACTTTCGCTACCGCCCCGACCGTCGTGATCTCTTTCGGGAGAGCGGGCGGCCTTTTCAACGCTTGTGGGAGCGGCGCCACGAGCGTGGGTTACGAGAGAAGCCATTTTGCTTGTTGTGGCGATTTTTAATTTAGTGTGGCGAGCGAGCGTTTTTTGTACCTTTCCATTAATGCGAAGGTATTTGACACCCCTGCTACCGGGGCAGCTAGTCCCTAACTCCGGGTCTGTAGTCCCCAACTTCGCGTTGTCTTGAACCAGTCGCCGCAAGGTGGTATTAGCCGAGCTCGAGTCACACCCCAAAATCATTTTGATGAGATCAAGCACGCTTCCCGTTTGCGTATTTTGGGGGATGGAGTAGCGGTAGCGCGGTGGGTGATAATTTTAGCGCCATTTTGAGACCATCCCTTGTGCGCCTGGGGTTACCGGCGTCGCGATGAAGCACCGTGGGTACAGTTGCCACCGCCAATTGCCGCCACTTGGGCTCGGGTGGCTACGATTTAAGCGAGCGTTGTTGATTCAGTAAGAACAGTTAAACCCAACGTTCTACTCACAGTACTTGCACTCTTCCTCCCCGCACTTGCTCAGGACTGGATCCTTCCACACAAAAGACCGCAGCTCTTTGTTCTTTGCCACCCTACCAATCAGGCTAGTGATGTTATCGTCTTTGCCGATAAAAGCCTGGTCAAATCTTTCCCAAAGCTCTGGACTAAAGCCCCGGAGAAATTCTCTGACCATAGGCACACACAAAATACTCGTTTTGCCACGCCTGAACTTCCCCTTCAACTCTTTCAATGGGTCCTGGTCCACACATTTTCTCTTCCACTCAGCTGATACATCTTTCAGACTAGGCAGTATGCACAGCTTCTCCACCTCGGTAACGTAAAGCGCGTGCATCTCCATCAAGGTATTCAGCTTGACTGCATCGGATTCACCCGTGCTCCTCTTCAGCCTCTTAATATGTGGGGCAATGGCTACACGCACGCCCGGCCGCCGGGCGTTTTTGACCTGTGACTATCGGAGTTTGTGTCTTTCTAAAAGGCTTGGCCTTTTCCACATCAACACCAGAGACGGGATCACACCCCATGTGCTCACCAGGTACGATGGCTGCCGCCCATCTGGTCCCAAACACGTCGTCACGGTGCAGCACGTCGGCCCCTGTGATATCGACGCCGGGCAACACCTCTTCAAATGTAACACTAATCCCTTGGGTCGAACACACCGATGTTGCCAGGTCGAAATGCTTTGCTGCTTTCTCTCCTTTTCCAGCCTCTATGTTGCTTCACCTCGATCACCTCATCTTCCGTAAAGACATCAATTAATCCCGATGGTGTTCGCCATTCGATCGCTCCCCCGATGCGCAAAGAAAGTGCATCCCTGACCAAACATTTTTTTCTTTTTTTCGCGTATCTTTTGCGAGAGTAGTCATTTTTGCTTGCTGTGAAGATGTTAGTTGGAGTGACTTGGGCGCGCTTGTTTCTCTACCATTGTTACCCGAACACAATTTTCGGCGAGAACGGGGCCAAAAGGGCGCGCCGTGTGTGATTGCATGTGCGTGGCCGACTGTGTCCCGCGGGACGTGCATCGCGAGGCGCGGGTGCGATGTAATTGCCTGTAGAGGAAGAACGGTCTCAAATACCTCGCAGACACGTTGTGTAAAAAATTAGCACTTCATTATTTCGTTTATACTTTCACCCCGACACAAATTCCAACACCACCCCCGCGATCAAGCATGTCCAACTCTCATCCCTCCTGGTCTCATACACTGCCGACCATCTTGTATACTAAAGCTCCATGATCAAAATTCCCCGGGGCTCCGGTGCTTCTAGCATACAACAACCATCGACTCAGTTGCGCTACGCAAAGACGTGCAACCCGCAGACTTACATATCGTACCACGACTCCCACCTAAAGCCGTTCACTTGTGTCTCTACCAACCCCACTAGTTTTCTGAAGCCGAGTGCAAATGTGCTCTTGAACCACTTGCTTCCAGTGAACCATGTACCCGGGCGGTAGTCTTTGTCGTTCTTCTGAAGGTGCCTAACCAAAGGCAGCATCGAGCGGTTGCCGGGCAAACACATGTAATGGTATACACCATCGCTCGATCCCCTGGATTTCGCCCTCTGGAAGGCTTCTCCAATGGTTATCACCATCTCTTGCAACCCTTCACGTTCAGCTTGGGTGGTTGTCCGAAGCGCCTTCGCCTTGTACGGGACCCGAATTCCCCTACCTTGTTTGACACCCGCAGCAACGGCAAAAGCGGGTGCGGCACCAGAACCTAACTTTCGCTGGGTGCTACCAGTCGAATAGTTGACCACCATCATGCTTGTCCCAAATACGTCGGTGCCATCCACCACGTCTACCCCCAGGTCTTTTCTGCCAGGACACACTTCTTCAAATGTAACACGGATACCTTGTGCCGAACACACTTTCGTAGCCATCTAAAAATGCTTTGATGTTGTTTCTCCCTCGTGTGTAAAAAGATGGAGACGTTTTTGGTGCAGAGGATAATATTCGCCATACTATATTACCTGACCGATCCCACTTTTCCATTGTTTGCAGTCTTTTACCTGGATAACCTCGTTTTTTGTTAAAACGTCAATAGAGCCGGCGGGGTTTCCGCACTCAATTACACCTCCGAAGCGCTTAGCGAGGGCGTCCCGTACATCCTTCTCCCTCACTCTGTTCGACACTTTTTTGTGTGCACCATCGGCGCTATCGCGAGGGCTTGTGGGAGCGGCGCCACGGGCGTGGCTTGCGAGAGAAGCCATTTGGCTTGTTGCGGAGATTTTTTTGTGTCGGTGTTGGGAGAGCGTTTTTTGTACCACTCTTAACCAAACAAATTGTATCTCGGCGAGACCGGGGCCAAAGGGCGCACCGCGTGTGATGGCATCAATACGACCGCATGTGTCCCGCGTGACATGCCTGGCGAAGCGCGGGTGCGATGAATTTGTGTGTAGAGGGAGAACGTTCCTTTAGTGCAGAAAGTTCCAGTTCATTCCTTCTTTGTAATTTCCAACCGATCAATCGACCAACATCCCTCTTATTTTACTCACAGTACTTGCACTCCTCCTCCCCGCACTTGCTCAAGACAGCATCCGTCCACACAAACTGTGGCGTCTCGTTACCCTTATTGACCCGTGTGACCAACCGCCCTACAGTGTCACCTTTGCCACCAAAGGCCTGGTAAAAGCGATCACAAATCCCCTGATCAGTCCCTTTGAGAAACTCTACGATATCGTCTACACAAAGTGCTCTCTCATTCTTCTGTCTCCTCAGCTTCGTCTTCAACCCTTCTTCGGGTCGTCGTACTGAAGTATTTTGTGTAACTTGGGAGACAATTTCACGTCCTGTGGATATATACACTCCTTTCCCACTGCTGACGTGTAAAGCTTATGCATCTCTCTCAAAACTTCCAACTTGGCTGCATCAGTCGCCTCGGTGCTCCTCTTCATCCTGCTCCCCCCAATAGTTGATTTTCTCGACTGGAAATTGGAAAAACTTCTCCCACGGGTATTTTCTTTCCGGTGGGCTGTTCGAAGACCCTACTCCCACCACTATCTCTTAAACTATCCAGTTAACGCTCTCATTTCGCGATTTCCTCCTCGATCTCTACACGCTTAATTTGCTTTTTGAGCTCTTTCAAACGTTTCTTGTCCCTCACAAACTCCGGATCATCATCTTCATCCGATTCATCAGGGCATGTACGCATACGTTTCATCTCCCCAAAAAACTGTCGGAAAAAACCAGCTACGCCCTCGGTCCCAAAAAATGCCTCCATCGAAGGCTGCATCATTCTTGAGCGATTTGCAACCTGCTTCGCACCATGCTTTATCTTTCCAAATCCTGCTTCTCGTTCAAATAACTCCAAAAAATCGTCCTCGTCACCGGCAGTCACCGATTCATCGCCTTCTTCATACGTTTGGGCTAGTCCATGATTCTGACCTTGAAACGTATCCCCATCAACCACTTGCAAATCGCGCTTCACCATATTGTACGTTTTCTCGCGCTCAAAGATACCACGTCTAGCCAGAGCAAAAAGGTTCACAACTTCAGGGTCATCGTGCTTCTTTCCCTCTTTGACAGCCTTGGTCAAAACAGCCGTGACATGCATTTACCGCAAAATATTGGGACCAAAAGCTGGCAACAATTGTGTCCTATTGTAGGTCTTGCCGTACTCATTAATGGAACCCATGTTCTCTTCAAGATCGATGGCGTACTTCTTTTGCTCTTTAGCAATAGTATCACCTGATGACCTCGATCTCTCAAGCTTGGCGATTGCTTGGCTCAGTTTTCTTTACAGCAGATCTCGAATCAATCGACGCCCGACCACGAGCATGACAGCGTATGGGCCTTTCGATTTAAGAAACAAAAAGAGCGAGAACGGAGAGAGTGGTTTCAGGTTCAGGCATATTTGTGCACATTCTCTCAAAATTTCAGCACACCAAAGCGCCACGAAAACAGACAAACAAGCACACACACCCTCTCACCTTTGCAGCCCGAACTCTTGGTGCGGTTGACAGCAAGCCCATCCTCGCTCCGCGCCAACTCTTCGCCATTCTTGCAATCCTCTGGGAGGATAGCCCGAAATAGACCCCATGAGGATGTGGAAATATCTTGTCTTGCACCCCAAGATGTTCTGTGGTCGCAGACACGGCGCTGATGTTGCGTCCAGTATGTTCAGGGCGCAGCTGAATATCGACCACTGCTTCAGCGTGATCTTTTTCAGCTTTTTCGCTATGCCATCTATGCTACCCCGCTCAGCCTCCGGGTACAGGTGTGCTTCGTCCGCGTGCTACCCGACTGCATCTGGGTCCGCTTCCAGCACCCGGTAACACACCTCCATATCCTCGTCACTCATTAAGTCCATGACAGGCTTTACACCATTCTCTTTCAACATCTTTCGCATGAAGAGTATAGATTCATTGTTGCCCGACTTATGCGTCCTCCCACCTTTGACCTTTGGGCCATAGCCCATCCGCACCCTCTTGTTTTCCCAGATAACAGACAACCTTTTCTTCTCTTTGGCTACGTACTCGTACTGTTTGTACCACAGATCGACAACCTCTAGATCCGCTATTCTAGTTCTACTGAACTCCATCGCTTCGTTGAAGGCAATAGTATGCTTTCGCGTAGGGCTGAGCCTGTCATACGAAAAAATAGACGGTGTGTGTACGACGAAAACAAGCAGAATCAAGCAGAACAGGCAGAGCGTGAATTTAGTTTTGTACTCTACTGCAGATCATATGCACGGGATGCGGCAGACAAGTCTATTGAGGAGAGTCTAACAAAAGCCATCAATTCCTTCACTTCATTCACCTGCTCGTGTTCTCTGTAGTCGGCTTAATTGACTTCTTGTCTATCTCGGGACGGCTGAACAACATCACCATGTACAGTGGCGCATACGCGTACCATTGACACAGTTCGTCGGAAACCCGAGCCCTCGCCACCAGAGCCCGCATGGCCAACCCATACCCCGCCTCACTAGCCTCCTTCTTGAGAATCGTCAGCGTAATCTTCCTCTGCTCCTCGTGCGCAAGCCTGACTCCCGGTGGAAGCTCGTCGTGGACGCCACCCACGGACAACGGAGCCATGCAGGACTCAAAGCTCATCAATCGACCCAGCTTGTACGCAGCCTGAGCTACTTTGACGTAGTGGTCCGCGGTGCTGTAGTGCTGTTTCGCGTAGTCCTTTCGCTCACGCATTAATCTGGAGTACGCGTCAAGGTTGGTGCCCAGAACTCTTGCAAGAGTGCCGTTTTCACCAAGCTCCTGCTCTAATCTTTCGTCCGAGGCGAGAAGTTTTTTTTCGTGGTCATTGACCACATGCGTAGCAGGCGCATCCTGAATCTCGTTCCACGCAAACTTGCGAATCTCGACAGCTTTCGTTCCCTCTTCCCCTTTCAAATTGACCGGCTTCACTTTTCGCTTCACCTTTGGGTCGTTGGTGACGAACTTGTAGAGAGGACAGCATACGAAGGAGAGAATAGCGCAGAAAACCTTTCTCACCCGCTTCACCTCCTCTTCCCACCGGACGACCCCCTTGCCCACGGCAGCCTCGAGAAGTTGGCGGGTGTTGAGCTTTTTGTTGGTCCCCTTGGTCTTGCGGTGTTTGCTTTCCAACTTGACACGGTATTGCAAGGACCCGTCTACATCCCTCCTTGCTGCCACGACCCTCCCCTGCTTGCCGCTGAGGTTGACCAGTATGCCGCTCACTGGGTCTGTCGTGATTCCGTAGAGACGTGGATCCTTTTCTCCAACTTCGGCATGATGACGCTATCGATTTCCTCCTTCGCTCTGATGGCTCTAGCAGCTTCGATGACATCGTTCCTCGTCAGATAGCGAGTATCCGGGATCGGCCGGTCCTCTTTTTTCTTTTTGGCGATCGCACGTTGGGCGTCCATGTTCGCCCCGGTGATCTCACGGTCCTCTTCCCTTTTGGCTTCAACAAGGTCGATGTGCGGGGACCTACTTGCTCGCGTTTTTGCTGATTTTGTACTGTCACTATCACTGCCCTCGTCTCCGCTGGCATCTCCACTGCTGCCACCGCTGTCATCGTCTCCACTGATATCCCCGTCGCTGCCGCGGCCCGTAGAGCCCGCCTCGGGGCCAGAGCAGCTCGAGCACAACCACTGCGCAAACAAGGAAAGACAACAATAGAAAAATCGTGGGTTTCTGGTGGTTAACGAAAAAGGTTAATGGACAACAACGTTTTGACCAGATTGAATAAGGGATAAAAATTTACGCTTCTATACCCCACCGCGCTCGAGCTTTCTTTGCCCTCATCGTGTCAATGTTGTTGCATTGCGGGTCATCCGTACACTCCCGGTGCCAGCACTCCTCGCAGCGAGAACACGTCATCATATCGGTGTCATCATCGAAATGTTGCTTGCACTCCTTGCACTTTTCCTCCCTGTCGTCGCCACTGTCGTTGACCGACAGCAGTAGATCCCGAGTTGTCGCAGCTCGAGCCTCCGCCGAAATTTGTGCTTCACGTTCCCGTATCCGCTTTGCGATCTCGTCCTGCCTTTGGAGTTGCACCTCGATGTCTTCATCTATGCTTCCTAATATTGTATGGATAGCAGCAGAGTTTCCGGCATTGTTGATCTGAGAGGAAGCGCCATCGTTGATCGCCACCAGCTCAAGGATCTTTTGTCGACGGTTCCTGCGGCCCCTACCGAGCTCTTGTTGCTGTTGTTGTTGCTCGTCTGGATCCGCCCCCCCTCGCAACGACACGCGTCGCCGGCGACCTTTGGGCCCACGTCCACGCCTGCACCGCCTCTTGTGGCGTGACGCCTGGCGACGCCGTTTCTCCCGCCGGCGCCTGTTCTTGTGCCTCGAACGGTGACAACCAGACTTCTTCCTCCCGCGAGCACCACCGATGTTCTTCGTCCGGGTGATCCAACCCGTTCCCTGGTCCACCACCCTCGTCCACCGCTTCCAGACAGTCCCACGCAGACAAACCACGTCCTCCGGCGCCGACGTTGTCCACCTTCTCCACACCGTCCCACGCAGACACACCTCGTGCTCCGTTCCAAGCTGCTTCTCGTCCACCTCGTTCACCATGTCGCCGTCGTCCTCGGCTTCTCCATCGCCATCACGCAGCGCATCGAACGGGTTGGTGTGGCCGAGATACCCCAGACATACGAAACGCGCGGCCTGGACGGAGGGCTCGGTGCTGGGGGGCTCGGTGTTCGAGTGCTCGGCACCGGCCTCCGCGTCCGTGTCCGGACCGACCCCCGCACCCGTGCACACACTCGGCGCAGCGAAGCGATCGTCATCCGTGCCAGGGAACCAAACGTGATGACCCACGCTTCACTGTCCACGGAACCATCCTAGGTTTTTCAGTTTTACAATGAGAAAGCGGAACGGGAAGGGAAAGCTGACTTGAGATACAGTTGAGCAACGGGCGTTGTGTTTGAGACACAAAGACTTGGCAAGAAAACTATCAGATACCCACAACTCGGCTTGCCACGTACCGCGTCAGTTCTCGGGGCCTCCGTGCCGGCTTACCCTCCGGCCTCCCCGCCGGCCTCCGCACCGGTCTCCCCGCTGGCCTCCGAGCCGGTGTTCGCGCCGGTCTTTCCGCTGGCCTTCGAGCCGGTGTTCGCGCCGGTCTCCCCGCTGGCCTCCCCGCCGGCTTCCCCACCGGTCTCCCCGCTGGCCTCCGCGCTGGTGTTCGCTCCGGTCTCCCTGCTGGCGTCCGCTCCGGTCTCCCCGCTGGCCTCCGGGCCGGCATCCGGGCCGGCGTCCATGTTACCCCCCTCACCCGCGCTCCTCCGAATATCAGCCCGTGATGTCGTACAGAGCTCAAACAGGCCATTCACCACCCACCCCAAGTCGCCGACGTCTGTGGTGTTAGGCTCTTCCTGTCGTACAAAAACAAACCACAAGCACTGATTTTGAATAAGCTGTGTTTACTCGGCCAAAACAGCGCGAAAGTAGGGACGAAAAAAACAGAGTTCTATATCATTCAAAACAAAAAGCAGACGTCGAAAAGACTTACGTGTTTGGGAGCGATGGCCTCGAAGTGCCCGTTGTGGATCATCACCATGTTTTTTCCGTGAAGTGGGGCAGAGTTGTTGTCGGTGGTCCACAGAACCCGGTCCCCCCCAGTCCCCGCCGCTGGCAACGACAGGCTTGACGAGAGCGAAGTTGGGGATGTGCAGAACTTTGGCCAGGAGGACGACGGCCCTGTCGTCCCCTAGCCCTCCCGGAAAGAGGATGCTGTTGATCCAGTCGATCTCGTTCCGCATGTCCCTTCGCACGTTCCGAGCCATCCCCTCGATCTGCGCAGGCGTCCACGCCTGTTGCGGTTAATCAAAGCCCCACCGAACTTCGTCGGAGTGGTCGTGCTTAAAAGTTTCGACCGTCAGAGACCGAATCAGTGTAGCCAACTCCTCCAACTTCCTGACTTCCGCATCACTTTTGCCGTCTTTCGACAGCGCCAGCTGGGCGTGAGAGTGGGGGACGCCGTCCGCGATCAAGTACGTCTGGAGCATCGCCAACCACCAGCAGTTTCCGCGTCCGTCGTTGGGTAGAGCCCAGTTGTAGAGCCTCCCGTTGTAACGCGTCGATGGAGTCGTGGTGGGGACAGATCGGCCGTTGTTCTTGCTCTGCCGTCCGCCACGGACAATAACCGTCCATCCCTTTCGCGCCATGTTTCACCTGCCATGTTGTGCACACGGCGAAGGCAAGGCATTGAGGGTGTGGCCGGTGTTGTACAGTATACTGGTCAGTTGGTTGCTGAGAGCGTGGAAACGAGAAAGAAGGAAAACGAAAAGAACAATACAACAAAGGGGAAAGGCATCACCCTGGACTTTTTGACGGTGACATTATGGTGAAGCAAAAGAAAACAAGTAACAAAGAAATAAGAGAAAGAAAAAAGAATAAAAAGAATAAAAACAAAAAAGATGCACCACGCCGAACTCGAACCGGCGACATTATGGGGTGAGAAAGTAGATGTTTTCGTGGGAGGAGGGGAAGAGGGGGAGG